CCCTCATGGGTCTCTTCACCTTCTGGAATGCCAATTATCTGGATATTTGGACATTTGATGGTATCCAGTACTTCTTGCATATTATTCTCAAATTTTTGGGCCATTTTCTCAGTCTTCATGGTGGATTTTTCTAGGCCAGCCATTTTCTCTTCTACATCTGAGATTCTATTTTCTGAATGATCTAGTCTGCTTTTAATACTTTCCAGGGAGATTTTTACTTCTTGTATTATAGACTTCATCTCTAGCAGTTCCGTTTGAGTCTTTTGAAAAGTGTGTAATTCCTCTTTTAGATCTTGCAAGAATTTCCTCATCTCCTGGAACTCATCAACTTCTTACTCCTTTCTCTTTATCAGTTCATTATCTCTCTTCTCTTCCATCTCTGTTAGCTTTGACATTATGAATGATCTGAATTCCTTATCAGACATTTCCATGATTTTCACCGAACTGCTTGTGGATGAAGAAAAGTTACTCTTTTCCCTTGGAAGAGAGGTATTTTCTCGTTTTCCCATATTTCTCATGATCCGGCGGTGATTTCTTGTCATCTGATGGATGGTGTGTTTCTTTCAAGTTCTTGAAGTTCAGCCGCTAGCTCATTTGTTGGAGGCTGAATTATCAGTAGAAAATCTTCATTCCCTGAAAAATCTAGTTCTCTGGAGCCATGTGGAACCTTCTTCTCAAGACCTGAGCATTTTACTGCTTCTATATTTCTTAGTTCCCTCTGTCCCTTTTCTGCCCCCATAACACCACTGACCATCTCTCAGCTGGTCTATTGCAGCTCTCTGTAATGGAGTATATTCCTGCCACCAATCCCAAGATCCTTTATCAGCCTTTCTCTGATCTGCAGCCAGTGTAATCTCTAGCTCCTGATTTGACCAAGTAGCTCCCTGAATAGTTCCCTTCCATTTGGTTTTACTGCCCATAACATGAAGTTCCAGGGCCCACAGTCCTCCCACAAGCCCACTTATGCCACCTGATCACCTTCCCTCCTGCCAAGCTCAGCTTTATCCTCTCACATCAGGAAGACCTTGCAACACAGACAGACAGCTAATGCTCACACTGGCTTGGCTCTCATCATTCCCTCATATGAGAGCCTTTCCTGCCCTTCCCCACCAGGCTGCCAGGGTCAGGCCTTCAGTTCATAGCTCAGACCTCACATGTAAATACTCCCAAATATGTTGGCTACCGTGGCTGTCAGGGATAATTTGATCACACCCATCAAAAGACTAGGCAACAATGAGTTTGTATCCCTTATTCCTATTAGCTGATTAAGTTTTTAGTTCAAGAACCAATTATTAGAGTCCCAGAACACATTTATTGGCCACTCATATAGGGGCCCTGTAAGTAACTGCTGAAATGAGTCAGAAGCTCTACTCACACCTCCAGGGCTTTCTGAAGCTGAATATCACAGTGCTTATGTACATTGGTTTTGGATCCACATGATCCAGACCCACTCCCTTAGACACTCCAAACATGGCCTCTCCTGCAAGGCCCTCCCTCATACAAGGAGCACCTTCTACACCCAAAACCTGGAAATGTGCTCCCAATCAAGGATGTATAAAATCAGGAGGAGGGTGGCATGGCAGTTAGGAAGCAAAAGAGAGAGAGGAATGTCCATGGAAGGGCCTTAAGACTCTGATTTAAAGAATGCCCTGAAAGACTTGCTGGGGGAAACAGGAACAAGAGGGCTGAGGGAGGGGCTGTCCCAGGTCAGTACCTGAGGGAGTCTGAGAAGGCCTCTACGCCGTACTTGGAGATGCAGTAGCCCCCACCAAACAGTGACACCCGGCCCATGACACTAGCAACGTTGACCACACGACCCCTCGCCTTCCTCACTAAGGGAAGCAGGCTCAGAGTCACCTCGATCACCCCCACCAGGTTCACATTGAGGATGGTCACAAAGTCCTTTTTAGTCAACCACTCATTGGGTGCCGTGGGCACAGAGATGCCAGCGTTGTTCACAAGGCCCCAGAGTCCTAGGGACAGAAGAAAATGAGAGAGCTACAATGAGTTGAGCCTGTATAGTGTGGACACAATGATGGTTCAAAATCACATCCCAGTAGACCAAGTGCATTAGGATAAGTATCAATGGGGAATGAGGGTAGAACAGGAACAGCATGGCATCTCCTTGGGGTGCAGGTTCTGTAACTGGTGGACAATAGCTTTGCCTTTCTTCCTCCACAGGTCTTGACCCAACCTGTATCCCTTCCTCCTCTTCCTCTCAGCTGACTGAGTTTTATTTCGGGAACCAGCTCTCCTGTACCTAACCCCTTAGTTGATGGCAGGTGCTCATGCTGAAGAAATACTTTGCTTCAGAAGTCTAGAAACATGGCCACTGGTGTCTGTTTGTTCACACATTAACATGGTCCTCTCAGATATCATGCACACTCACCTACATTTCAGCTTTTCTAGAAACCAAGTATAGTGTGTGTTCTGTAAATATCCACTGAGAGTTAGAGACAGAGTGTGACAGAGTATGAGGAAGAGAGAGAACAGAGGGAGACAAAAGATAAAAGTAAAAATAAAATAAAAAATAAAAGGCTAATAACTGGGTGGTGTTTGGTGGACCAAGACCTGAAAACTACATTTGGGCAGAATGTGGACAGCAATTCCATATTTGACCACACGGTTCTTGCCTTGAAACATCCTGCATTGATACTGAACAATGCTCCTGCAGGAGCACTTGGAAGGATC